TATACATTTTTTATATTTTTTCTTTTTTTATTTTTCTTTTTCTTTGAATTAGATTTTATTAATTAAAGATTATTATTTTTTATTATTTTTTCTTTATCTATTTTTTATTATATTCATATTTTTTATTTTATATTAATTTAATTTTCATTTTTCTGATTTTCATCATTACTTTTATATTATTTTTTTTTTTTCTAAAATCTTTATAAATTCATTTTATTTGTATTATTTTTTATTTTTTCATTTTCCTTTTTTTTATATTTTTTTGCCAATTTTTTTTGTTTTTTTAATTTATTATTATAATATATCATATTTTTTTTTTTTTTTTTTTTTATATATTTTTTTTTTTTATTTTTTATTAATTATTTATTTTTTTATTTTTTATTTTTCTTATATTATTTTTTTTTTTTTTTATTTAATATGAATTTTTACTTTTTATTTTTATTAATTTTTTATTTTTATTTATTTTTTATTTTTATTTTATTTATTTTGATTTTATATTATTTATTTTATTTTTTTATCTTATTGTTTTTGTCATTTTCCTTTTTGTATATTTATTTTTTATTTAAATTATATTTTTTTTTTTTTTTTTTATTAATTTTTTTTTTTTCTTATTTTCTTTTTACATTTTATTAATTTTCTTAAATTTATATTTATTTTTATTAATTTATTATTTTTATTTTTTTTATAATCAATTTTTTTTATTAATTGTATAAACTATATTTTTAATTTTTAATTTTATATTAATTTTTTTATTTTTTATTTTTTTATTTTTGTTTATCATTACTTATTATTTTTTATTTTTTAATTTTTTTATTTTCTTTTCTTTATTTTTTTTCTTATTATATTATTTAATTTTTTTTTTTTTATATTTTATATTTATTTCTTTCTTTACTTTATTTTTTTTTATAATTTTTATTTTTCTTAAATTTAGTAATATTTTTATTTTTATTTTTTTTTTTATATACTTATATTACTTTTTTTTATTTAATTTTTTTTTTCTCTTTAATTTTTTTTTTTTTTTTTTTTTTTTTTTTTTCTTGTATATTTTTTTTTTATTTTTTTTCTTATTATTAATTTATTTTTATTATTTATTATATTATATTATATTTTATATTTATTAATTTTTTTTTATATTTTAATTTTCTATATTTTTTATTTTATTTTTATATATTAAATTATTTTTTTTTTCTATTTTTTTTTACTTATTTTTAATTTTTATATTTTTTAGTTTTTTTTTAAATTTTTTATTTTTTTTTTTGATATTTATAATTATTTTTTTTATTTTATATATTAATTTTTTTATTTTTTTTTTTTTTATTAATTTTATGTATATTATTTTTTACATTTTTTTTTTTATATAATATTTTAATAATATATTTTTTTATTTTTGTATTATTTTTTTTTTTTTTATAAATTTTATTTTTATTTTATATTTTATATTTTTTTAATTTTTTTTATATATATTTAATAATTTTGTTTATTTATTTTTTTTTTTAATATTTTTTTTATATTTATTTAATATAATTTTTTAATTTTAATTTTATTTTATTATAAATTTTATATAATTTATATTTTTTTATTTATCTTTTATAAATTTTTTTTATTCATTTTTTTATTATTATTTTTATTTATATCTATGATTTTATATTCTTTGTTTTATATTTACTTTATTTATTTTTTTTATTTTTTTTTTTTTAATTTTTTCTTTTTTTTTGCATTTAAGTATTATATTTTTTAATATTTTTATATCTTTTTTTATTTTTTTTTTAAATTATTTTTTATTTTATATTTTTTTTCATATTTTTTTTTTATATTTATTTTTTATTACTTATTCATATCTTTTATTTATTTTTATTTAATATCATTTCTATTTTTAATTTATTTTTTAATTTTTTTTTTTATTATTAAATTTTGATTTCTTTACATTTTAATATTGTTATTATTTTATTTTTTTTTTTCTATTTTTTTATAATATTTCATTATTTTTTTTTTTTATTTATTTATATTTTATTTTTAATATTTATTATATTATTTTTATTTTTTCATTCTTTTTTTTTTTTTAATTTTTAAATTTTTATTTTTTATTTTTATTTTTTTTTTTTAATTTATTTCTTATTTTATATTCTTTTAAAAATATTTTTTTATTTTTTTATTATTTACTAATTTATTTTTTTATTTATATTCTTTTTTTTTTGTATTTTTTTGTTATTTTTTTAATTTTTTTTTTATTTTTATTATTTTTTCTTTTATATATGTTTTTTATTTAATTTACTATTTTTTTTTTATTATATTATTTTATTATTTTTGATCATAATTTATTTTTATTATTTTTTTTTTATTTTTATTTATTTTTTTAATCTATTAATTGTTCTTTGTAAATTCTTAATCGAGTTTATTCTTAATGTTTTTATCCGTTTGTTAAAGCACATTGCATTAACTTTACTAGAATTAAGCATCTGTGTTGTAATATTAAAATGTGGAATTAGGTGCTTCTGTTTTATTGGTCATTGTCTTTTTTTTACCTGATTGTTGACAGCCCAGCTTATGGTTTTGGGCTCTGAATGGGCTGATCGGTAATTAGCGTGTCCTGTGTGGTGATGGTCCGGTCCTAACATTGATAAGAATTTCTTCTAATTGTGGCAGCGCTCATCCGAGTAAATTATTTGTGGTTTGTTATCGCCTGTCCATCTGGAGCTCTGGATCAGTGGTGGATACTCCTTTCTCCTCACGTTGTGGTATTTATTGGGTGCACCCAGATTTTCTCTTCAGACTGTTTTGCACGGAAGCCGGAACAAACGCAAATAAGATGGAGGCGGCAATCTTCTTTATGTCTTGAGAATATGTCTCTAGAAGAGACATAAAGTCAAAACAATTAAATTGTATGCTGCTATGCCACATTATTTTTAGAGGATGTGACCAAAATTATTTTTAGGAATACATCTTTTAAAATAGTGTTTGTTGCTTGTTTAAAATCTCTTTTAGTATTCAAATCAAATGTATTTATATAGCACATTTAAAACAATGTTGGTTGACCAAAGTGCTTCACAAAAATGTCTACAGTACAAAAGGAAAAAAGGAAAACAATTCACAATATACAAGCAGTAAAACCAAGAACATTTTAGTATTGATAGAATAGCAACAAACCCCATTTATTTACTTCATTTGATACTTTTTTGCTCAAGATATCTTATAAGATACAAGAAAAAAATAACACACATTCTCAATTTCAATTTATATTAATGTTCCCATGCTCCGAACATGGAAGCTTTTGTCATACAGATTTACTCAAAAAAATACATTGTAAAACTTAGCTATATTATGAAGAGGTCACTTTTTCACAAGTCACCACAAAAATAAAAAATAAAACAATAAACGACATCAAACATTCAACTCCAAACTATCGCTTTGACAGCTAGTTATTAGGCCTGCTTTAAAAAATGGGTTCCAAATAGTCTTTTCTTGTTATATTTGCCAGCTATAAGTTCAGTAAATACGTTTGTTTCCACCCCAAATTATTCGTAGAAACTTCCAAACGTCATACACTCACCTTTCATCCTGCGATCAGCTGGAAAAGGACGCTAGCCCTGGCGTGCGGTGTAATTTGACACATGTCATGAACGCGCGTCAAATGACCGCGCCGGAGGCGCTGCGTTTCGGTGTGCGGTGAGCTTTTTTCGAGAAACTTTGTTTCTTTAATTGATACTTTGAAACTGTTTTATATTCGGAGATAGTTTTTTGAGGTCCTCCGGATATTCTTTCATATCTTAGGCCCAGAACAGAGATACAGAAGCTTTTCCCGGTTTAGTCTGGCCTGTTTCGTGGGCGATTTTAAGGTGATATAGCCCTTTAAATTGTGTTTTCCTTGTCTTGCGCTGAAAGAAACGTAAAACATTTTCAGACAATTGCTTATTTTTTTTACTCATGTACATTAATTGCGCCAGTTCTTAAAAATTATGATGTCTTGAAGTTTGAGAGTTTGGATTTTAATAAAAATAAGGATGGGTTTGGTCAAGATAACCAGGTTATTGATTGGTTCTAATGGCTTTTTTTATGCCAGGAATCACTCGTGGTTTTTAAAGTAGTTTGATAATTATTAACCCCAGATTTCGCGCAGTAGGTGGAGTAAGGTGAACCAGAGAACAGAAGAGATGTGTGTAGAGAATTAAAATCCAACTCTGGCTTAACTAACCCAGCTATACTCTTATACTTTTTCCTGTATATATTGAATGCGAGCTTTTCACTTGATGTCGTTCGTCCATAATAACCCCGAGAGAAATGTAATCTCCTTGAATGTTCTGTTTATCCCTGTATTTTTAACTGTATTTGTACATCTTCTTGAAATTCCCAAAAAACATTTAACTTAGTGTGGTCAGATTCAGAGTTTAATTTATTATTATGGAACCAGGTCAATAACTTCATGAATTAATTTTTCAAGTCTCCATTAATATTGCAAATTGTCTCCTGAAAGAACAAATTTGTGTCATCTGCAAATGAAACAGCAACTGTATTAAACAAATCAGAAAACTTTACACAGATTATTAATATACAAAATAAATAATGTTGGTCCAGAAGCACAGGAACCCTGGGGGAGGCCCACAGACGACGTCCAAATACCAAGAGTTGTTCTCCGAGTTTGAACAACATGTTTCCGATTTCTAAGTGCCTCTTTAAGAGCGGACTAAACCCAAATCAACTTTTTTTTTACTCAATAAACTGCATAAATATGTTAATTGTAGTGCTCTATACATATCTGGTCATTTTTAGGACAATTAAGTACAAATTAGATAAAATCTCACTTTTGATAACAACGTCGTGTGGCGCCCTCTCTACCTTATAGTGGTAACTACATTTGAATTGGTTCTGGACCTCTTCATTGACTCTGAAATTCGGTTTGTGACGTCAGTTGGGTGTGTGTGACGTCTGTTGGTGTGTTTGTGTGACGTCAGTAGGTGCACTGTGTGTCTGTGACGTCAGTTGTGTGTGTTTGTGACAGTCCAGTTATGGTGTGTGTGAGACGTCAGTTGGTGTGTGTGACGTCAGTTGGTCTGTGTGTGAAGTCAGTGGGTGTGTGTTGTGACGTAAGTTGGGTGTGTGACGTCACAGTTGGTGTGTGTGTGACGTCAGTTGGTGTGTGTGACGTCAGTTGGTGTGTGTGACGTCAGTTGGTGTGTGTGGACGTCAGTTGGTGTGTGTGACGTCAGTGTGTGTTGTGACGTTCAGTTGGTGTGTGGTGTGAGTCAGTTGGTGTGTGTGAGTCAGTGGGTTGGGGGTGGTGTGGAGTCAGTTGGTGTGTGTGACGGTCAGGTGGTGTGTGTGACGTCAGTTGGTGTGTGGTGACATCAGTTGGTCTGAACGGTCGTGTGTGACGTCAGTTGGTGTTTGTGACGTCAGTTGGTGTTTGTTGACGTCAGTTGGTGTTCGTGTGTGACGTTGTTGGTGTGTGTGATTGACGTCAGTTGGTAGTTTGCGTGTGTGTGATGCACACAACACAACATAACGCAATGACAAATCCCACCCACCAGGCAACCTCAAAACAAAATACACAAGCCTGCCGACAGATGCATAACTAACAGGCAAGACAAAAAAAACAAAATATATAACTAAAATAAACAACAAAAAATAAGAAAAACAAACCAAAATAAAAAAGAGAGACCAAACACACAGAAGTCCCCGAGGCCTTCATCCACTTATCCATTCTCTGATTTGCCATTTTCTATGGGACATCAGTCCCATTTCAACATCTTCAATTTTTTTTCGTGCACAATTATCCTTTTTGTGTTTGAAGCTATTATTTTTTCCATTACATATTGTTGTTTCAGTTTATTTTTAAAGTTATTCAAACAGAGTTCTGCATTGGTTTTACATTTAAAAGATAACAACCCATCAGGATGATTACATTCTCTACATTCGTTGAGCTGCTGTCCAAGATTCCCAACATTATAATCATGGGATTGATGTCAATCTCGATCCCTAATCCACACAACCATCTTTGGACCATCGTCCAGAATAATGAAACATATGGGCAAAAATAAAATAGATGCATTAGGTCTTCCTCCTCCTCTTCACAGAATCTACACATGGGGCTTTTAATGATCTTACATAAATTCAGGTGTTTTCTTGTTGCTGTAATTTCATAGAATAGCTTTATTTGGAAAACCCTAGAGTAAGAATCTATGACAGTTTTGTATATATTTTGGAAAAAATGTTTCCATAAAACAGGACAATTAAATTCATCTTCCCATGCAGTGCAGATTCTGTGAGGATAGAAGGCTGTTCCAGACATACACACATTATACTTGTACATATGTTTGTTTATCTTGTCCATTAAGAATTTGTTGCATCTCACTCGTGGCAAACATACTAATAATTTGTCAGTGTTCTTTTCCATTTCCATGGGATTGCTGACAGCAGCTGATTGTACTTGTATGGGTCCAAACAATATCCATATTTCACACATTTCCAATATCCAATATCCATATAGGTTCCGGATGTGTCTATTAGATCATTGATAAACATAACTCCATTATTCAAAAATGATTCCCATAGAAAAGGTCGCCCTTCGATTAGAACATTAGAATTCATCCAAAGCAATTGATTTTGAATCTCCTGAAAACCGTCTGGAGGATGATATTGAAAGCTCAGCAATGCCTTGAAAGCTTCTTTAAAGAATGTAGAGATATTTATCAGTTCAACATTCATTATTAGGTTAATATGATTGGCTTTAATCTGGAAAAATGGAAATAATTTACTTTGAAAAATTGGGTACGCATTTTACTAGATATCCAATTAGGGTTGTGATACAATTTATGAATCCAGGAGGCATTCAGAAATTCATTCATGATTTCTAGATTTTTTAAGTTTAATCCACCATTTTCAGGCGAGTCGTACATATATTGTCTTTTAATTTTGTCTGGCTTATTATTCCATATAAATGTAAACATTTTTTGTTCAAAACATTTAAAGAATGATCTGTCCGGTGAGGGAAGTGTTAGCAATAAATGTACCATCTGAGGGATTACGAGACAATTTTTTAATGTTACTTTTCCCATCATCGTTAAATGTGTTCCCCTCCATGGCAGTAACAGACTATCAACCTTTTTCATTCTTTTATCAAAGTTAAGCCTTATGGTTTCTTCAGTTTTACTACAAATATGAATTCCTAGTCCATTTCACTGGTACTGAACATTTGATCTCAAAATCTGAACCTGAAATGTTTCCTAATCTCATAATTGCACACTTTCCAAAGTTCGGTTTTAGGCCAGACATATTTGCAAATATTTGTAATTCTTTTATCAGTTCGTTTAATGATTGTTCCTCAGGTTGTAAAAAGAAGGTAGCATCATCTGCATACATTGTTAGTTTGATTTCTCTGTTATTTAGTTGCAAACCTTTAATTGAAGTATTATTTCTAACTCTGATGGCCAATATTTCCATACACAGAATAAATAAGTACGGAGACAGGGGGCATCCTTGTCGCACACCTCTGGATAAAATGAAACTGTCTGATAAATACCCATTATTAACTATTTTACTAGTTGGTTGGTTATATAGTGTTTGCACCCATCTTAAAATATTATTTCCAAAATTGAAAAATGTTAGTGTACTGTAAATAAACTTCCAACTAATTTTATCAAATGCTTTCTCAAGATCCGAAATAAATAAAATTCCAGATTTTTCATGTATTTCGTAATCTTCAATTATGTCAATAACTTGTCTAATATTTTCCCCTCCTTTAATAAATCCTACTTGCTCATGTTTTATAATATTTCCAATTACTTTTTTCATACGTTGAGCTATACATTTGGTGAGTATTCTTGTGTCACAACAAAGTAGTGTTAGGGGTCTCCAATTTTCTATTAGTGTAGGGTCTTTGTATTGGCCATCAGAGTTTTGCTTCAACAGCAGTGATATCACACCTTCTTTTTGTGACGTTGGCAAGTCAAAGAGAATATCCCTCCCGTTTTGAGTGATACCCCTGCTGTCACTGAGCCGGTCTCCAGCCTGTGGTCCTCTTTCATGTCAGTGACGCTTGCTGATATCTCGGCACTGGTGACAAAGATGAAACCCTCCTCTTGTCCATCCGACATCATTCCTTCTAGGCATTTTGTGAAAGTGTTTGATGTAATTGGCCCCTGGGTTATCAAAATGGTTAACCTCTCGCTTTCTGCAGGCGTGTTTCCTAAAGCATTTAAACATGCCACAGTGGAGCCATTAATAAAGAAGACAGGCTTAGATCCAACTGATCTAAATAATTTCAGGCCGATCTCTGGTTGCAAAGACCAAGGATATGATCATTGATTTCAGACGCGTCACATCCAATGACACCAGCGTCATCCACGGTGGGAATGTTGAAATTGTGGACAGTTCTGGGAACAACGATAGACAACAAACTGAAGTTTGACATAAACATTGAGCCTTTCATTAAACGGTCGCAACAGAGAATGTACCTGTTGAGGAAATTGAAATTCTTTATAATTTGTATTATTCTTTATTGAAAGCCATCTTAGCTTTTCTTTTATCTGTTGGTTCCAAAGCCTGACGCTGAAGGACAGAAACAGGTTACAGAGTGTTGTGAGAACTTGCTCCAAAATCACGGGTGGTAAACTCTGAGACCTTCAATCTCAGGAACAGGTGCTGAATAACGCTAAATGTATTCTGGCTCAGCCCAAACATCCGCTGATCGCCAACTTTGTATTGATGCCTTCAGGGCGTCGTTTTTAACAAACCGTTTTTCCAATTCAGTTGTGCCCTCTGACATAAAACTGTTGAACTCTGGTAGAGGTGTTTGTGTAGGGTATGTGTGTTCTGCTTTGAGTTTATGCTGCAAATGAATTGCCCTTTGGGATCAATAAAGTTTTCTGAATCTGAATCTAAACTTCCACTCTTGTCCAAGATCCTAGAGATCCAGCATTCCTGGATCAAAATAACATCCATGAGACATTTCAGTCTGGTTTTCGTCAACACCATTCCACGGAGACGGCCTTACTGAAAGTGTCCAGTGACATTATGATGGCAGCAGATTCTGGAAAGTGCACTGTTCTGGTTCTTCGGGATCAGTCCTCGGCGTTTGACACCGTCGACCACCAGATCCTGCTGAGAAGACTGAGGGATGGAGTAGGACTGTCAGGGTCAGTGCTTCAATGGTTTTCGTCCTACTTACGAAACGGGCGGCACGGTGGCTGAGTGGATAGCACTCTCGCCTCTCAGCAAGAAGGTCCTGGGTTCGAATCACGGACCAGGGCCTTTCTGAGTGGAGTTTGCATGTTCTCCCCGTGTCTGCGTAGGTTTCCTCCGGGTACTCCGGTTTCACCTACCACTAAAAATATGTTCAATAGTTCTGGCATGCGCCTCCTATACTGGTGACCCCGCTCCCATCTCTGTGTGGAGTGAGAGACAAATGCCCAAAAAAAAAAAATGTACAATTGTAAACCGCTTTGAGACTCAGATCTGCAGTGAAAAGGTGGTATATAAATAAAGATTACTTACTTATCTGGACGCAGTTTTAGTGTCACAGCAAACCAGATATGTTCTGAGTCAGCAGATTTTTTGTGTGGTGTCCCCCAAGGTTCCATTTTGGGTCCGCTGCTATTCCTGTTGTATTTGACCCCCTTGGGAAATATTGTCCAGAAATTTCCTGGCATCTCGTTCCACATTTTTTCTGATGATATCCAGCTATACTGCTCCTTCAAGCCTACCGAGCTCCAGAGGCTAAATTCCTTAGTCCATTGCTTGGTTGAGGTAGAACAATGGCTGAGTGACAACACTTTGCAGCTCAACGCTGACAAAACAAACACTGGTGATTGCCCCTGATGACCACATTCCAGGGATAAACCGGTGCTTGGGTGACTTAGGCCAGTCAGTTAAAACTTAGGCTGAGTTTACACGGAGACAATGTGGCAGTAAAACACTATACTGTAGTTGGATGTCGGTTGCTACCAACCGTTCATACGGAGACTGTGTTCCAGGGGGGTGAAAACGTAAGAGTTAAGATCCAGTCTGCAAAGTGGGACAACTCAGATACGCTGCACAGCGGGGCTCTCTTTCACACCCGCGTGAGGGAAAAAGATGTGAATGGTCTGCCTGCTCTGACCCCCACCTCCGTGCTGCTCCCCGCAGTAAATTTGGACATGCGCAGTAGCCGAGAACAAACATAAACAACAATGGCGGCGGGTACACTAACTGGCTTTGTGGGCTTCGAGCGCTGCATAGAGGTAAATTCTACTCCTTCGTTCGTCCAAACGAGACCACACGAAGCTCTAGTTTCAGTTTCCATTTTCACAGCTGCTGTAAAAATTCAGAATGATGTTGGTGCATTCTGAGGGTCTGGCACAGGAAGT